GTGTCTGCTGCTGCAGCAAGGGTTTTGTCTTCTCTCTGTTTGTTTGTCACTTGCGAACCCTGCGCAATGTGCTGCTTCGCAATTAGGGTTTGTGGGGTTTCGAGGGTTTACTTCGGGTGTATGAACAGCAGGTTTGGGGGCTGCGGCTCGGTGCTGCGCGTCCACAGCTACAGCCCCCAAACCCTAAACCCTAAACCCTCAAACCCTCAGCCCCCCCTCCAAACCCTCAGCTGCGCCTCCGGCCTGCTGCAGGCCGAAGCAGTCCAGCTGCTGCGAGGGTTTTACTCCCGGGGAAACCCTCGGGCTCCCGACGAAAAGCGAAAACGGCCCCTCAAAAACTAGGGTTTAGGGTTTAGGGTTTAGGGTTTGGGGTTTGCGGCCAACGCCCACGCCCCAAGCCCAACTGGTGTCCAGACACCGCAAACTCGCAAAACGAAAAATCGCCAAACGGATCGACCCGCAGGGCCTAGGGTTTAGGGTTTAGGGTTTAGGGTTTGGCGGGCCTGCAGGCCTAGGGTTTAGGGTTTAGGGTTTAGGGTTTAGTCGCCAAGCCATTTAAACCTCGCAAAGAGCGATATGTGGTCTGAGGGCCGCAAAGGAGAAGGCAGAAAGGGGGAGCGCAAATAAAGAGACTCAGCCTCCTGCACGCAAACCCTAAACCCTAAACCCTAAACCCTAAGACGCAGCCGCGCGCCCCCAAACCCTAAACCCTAAACCCCAAACCCTCCGTCCGCCCCAAGCCCCAAACCCTCGCAAGTATCCCGCCCTCCCCCCACCCACCCCCAAACCCTAAACCCCCCCAAACCCCAAACCCTAAACCCTAAACCCTAAACCCTGCGGGCCTGCAGCAGCTGCGCGGGCTCCAGTTCCTGCTGCAGCTCCGCCAGCAGCAAAAAGTCCGCGGAAAAGAAAATGTAATCCAAACAGCCGCAGAAGTTGGGAGTGAAGTTTGTGAAGGCGGGCTCCAGGTGTACGTACACCCCGGCGCCCCGCAGCAAACACCCGCCCTGCAGCAAACCCTAAACCCTAAACCCTAAACCCTAGCCCGTGGCCTCAGGACTGCGGCTGTGCGCAGCAGAAGCTGCGCGTGCACGGGGGGGGTCTGGGGAGTCGGGAGGTGGTCTAAACCCTAAACCTTAAACCCTAAACCCTCAGTTGCTCACCAGCGCGTAGGCGGACACGAGGTTCAGGGGCCGGCGGGGCCTAGGGTTTACAAAATTAGGGTTTAGCAAGCTGGGGTTTACGAAGCTAGGGTTTACGAAGCTGGGGTTTGCCGGCTGCTGCAGCTGCTGCAGCTGCTGCATCTGCTGCTGCAGCTGCTGCTGCTGCTGGA